GATAGATGGGGTGGTGGGTGGGTGGGCGGATGGATGGATGGATGGATGGTTACGATGGTGGGTGGGTGGGTGGATGGGTGGGTGTTTGGGGTGGATGGATGGATGGAGGGGATGGGATGGTGGGTGAATGGGGTGGATGAATGGATGATGAGTGGATAGATGGGGTGAGTGGATGGGTAGCTGAGCTGCTGCACGTGAGCCAGCAGGAGGCAGGGGCTCTGTGCCGTGTGGCTCTCACTTTGCCCTGTAGCCTCAGAGATCCTTGACCCTCTCCTGTGTCCACTGCTGGGTCATGACTGCTATCTTCTAGGCCACAAAGAGTGTCCTGAGTGTGCCCAACAAGGAGGTGATCAGTTCACAGAATGATGTGGAGAGGCTGGAAGTCCGAGAACAAACTAAGAGCAAGTCAGAAGCCAAGTGGAAGTACAAGGTGAGGAGTGTGTGCGTGTGTGCGCACGTTTGCACACACGTGAGCCTAGGCGCTACAGAGAATGGGGTTCCTGGATGATGTGGTCCGAGGGAGGAGGCCGGCCAGTCCCAACACCTCCGCCCACTGGCTGCCTGCATGCAGCCCAGTGACAGCCCTGGGTTTTCTTTTCAGAACAGCAAACCCGATTCCCTGCTGAAGATGGAGGAGGAGCAGAAGCTGGAGAAGTCTCCTCTCTCAGGAAACAAGGACACCAAGTTCTCGTTTTCTTTCAACAAGAGACTGCTGGGGTACGTGCACACTCAGCCTGCAGGGGCAGGCGCACACGCTTGCACACAGCACACACGCACAGAAACGCACCCCACATCACACGGGCTCGTACACGCTACACGCACACCCCACATGCACACACACGACCTCCTGGAGGGGTCCCCAGGTGAGCCCCCCCCCCCCTTCCAGAGCTGGCTGACATCACCAGACAGAACCTTTCCCCACCTCCCAACCTGATAGCTCTGGTGGGTGGAGAGGGGCCAGCTGGTGTGTGCTTGCAGAGGGGAGAGCGTGACTGGGTGGCCTCCAGCCCAGTTGCTGCCCTGGGCTGGCACAGAACACGTAGGGTGGGTCAGGGTCCTGGCCTCGGGGCTCAGAGGCCTGTGTGAACCCATCGTTCTCAAATGTGCCCCAAATTATGGCTGTGATGGAGGCTGTGGAGGATAGAAGTGCAGGGCTTGTGGGGCCCGAGAAATCGGGAGGGCTTCCTGGCGGAGGTGGCCCTGAGCTGAGAGGCAGGAAGGGTGTGTGTGGGAGTGGGCATGTCGGTGTTCCAGACGGCGGAAGGGGTCTGTGTCTGCTGAGCAGCTTGGCAGCCGAGAAGCCCCTTCCCTTGTCAGCCAGGGTCCCACGCGCAGTTGCTCGCTGAGTCTGAGGTTGGGGTGGGCGCCCCCGGCTGGGAAGCAGTACATCCCAGTGGGAATGGGGCCAGTTTTCTGCCGTGGGCTTCAGTTTCCTTGTTGCAGGTGGTGGGGAAGCAGGGCGGGGCGACGTCCAGCGCCGTGCAGAGAGCCTGGCCCGACATCCCATTAGTCCCAAGACCTCTAGACAGTGTGCCGAGACTGCTCAGTGAGCAGGGGCCTGGGTCTGGTCTGGGTGGTCTTGGGGCCCAGAGGCCTGTGGGGAAGGGCCTGTGGCCTGGACCTCGTGGCCCTGAGCACATGCTTGATTGTCTGAAGCTCGGTTGCTGGGCACTGAAGCTTTGGAAATGGAGAAGGCAGCGGTGGATGGGACTCTGTGCGTGCACACGTGTGCGTGGACACCATATCACAGCTGTGTGTGCATGCCGGTGTGCACATCCAGCAGGGCTCCCTGCCGCCTGGTGTGTGTGCTTCAGATGCCGGCGGTTGGAGCTGCCCTGTGGGGAGCAGCGGGAGGCCCAGCCCTGGCTTGCTGTCCCCGTTGCTGGACGCGTCGGAGCCCCACCTCACCCGAGTCGAATGATAGCTTTTAGAACATTGTGTCTGCGCCGCAGTCGGAATTAATATTTCCAACGCAGCGCCACGGGGACCCCAGGCCGTGGATGCTGGCCGCCTCTGAAATCGAGCTGGGATCAGAGCCTCGGGGGGGGGGGCGGGGGGAGCACACCCTCCGACAGCTGGAGGACGGGCCGGCCGCCGTCCCGTGGTACTGACCGGCCCGCGTGTGCGCCGCAGCTCCAAGGCCCTGAAGCCGCAGCCTGGCCCCGGCGTGTTTGGGGCCGTGCCGAGCTTCAAGGAGGACAAGCCGCAGCCCGTGCGGGACGAGTACGAGTATGTGTCCGACGATGGGGAGCTCAAGATTGACGAGTTCCCCATCAGGAGGAGGCGGAGCGCCCCCAAGAGAGACTTGTCCTGTGAGTGAGGGCGCAGGGGCTGGGGGGCGGCCGTGCTCCCGCGGCCTCTGCCAGACGCATCTCTGCTGTGCTTTCAGTCTTACTGGACGGGAAGGAGCCGCCGCCCACGCCCGTTACGAAGCCAAAGCTGGACTCGGCACTCTACAAGGTGTGTCTGCCCCGGGTCCCCGGGAGGCCAGGCCGCACGCCCATCCCTGTCTCTGGCCGTCCTGCTTCGCGGGGGACGTGGCTCATCTTCATGCTCCCCGGGCGTTTCCATGAGGGTTGGCCTGGGTTCTGGAGTGGGGCCACGTGCCATAGGACCCACAGGGAGGGACGAACGCAGGGGTGGGACTCAAGGAAGGTCTTCGGGTCTCTGTGGGTGGCTGTGCCACCATGAAGATGATGAATGGTGGGGGGAGCGGGGCCAGGCCTGCCGGGGGTCCTACACCATGGTTGGGGGTGGTTAAGTTAGGCTGCATCCAGCCCGGGACACGGTGGCTGTTCGCAAGGAGGCCAGGGGTCCCCAGAGCTACCTGCCAGTGGCTGTTAACTGGGGCTCTGCCTGTGGGCCTGTGCTCCCACCGGCTCCCTGCCCACCCACACGGGCTCTCCTCCCATCTGTTGTCAGTACCGGCGCTCCTGTGGAAGGCTCCGTGAACCAGGGTTTCCTGGGGAAATAGGGCAGCCTTCTGGGACAGGCCCCTGGGGCCCAACAGAAAGCTCTGGGGTCTAGCCGTTTTGTGTGTGTCTGGCCAGCAGGCCCCGCAGTGCTTGTTCTAAGGGCCGGCTCTTGAAAGACTGTGAGAAACCTGTTTGTGGCCAGAGGGAGACAATAGCTGTCCCTCAAGCCCTGTCTGATCCGTGGCTCTATCCCCGCGGCAGAGTGACGAGTCCTCTGATGAGGGCTCGCTGCACATCGACACGGACACCAAGCCTGCCCGCAACGCCAAAGTGAAGAAAGACAGCGGGGGCTCAGCCGCGGGCATCCTGGACCTGCTGCAGGCCAGTGAGGAGGTTGGAGCGCTCGAGTACAACCCCAACAGGTAGGCCTGCAGGGCACACGTGGGCTCTCTGGGCCTACGTCCCAGAGGTAGGCTGGCCAGGGAGGTGAGTGGGCGCTGGCCTGCTGTTCTCGAAGGTCTGTGGAGCCCCTGAGTAAGGGCACGGAGCTCCCCCCGACCCTGCCACAGTCTTGGACACCTGCACTCAGAGGAGGCTGAGCGGCTGCCCTCCTTGGGGGAATGCGGAGAACCAGGGCTGGGCTGGGCTCCTGGCTGGGAGGTCTAGCAGTCTCTATCTAGATGCTTCCCAAATGCTGTGAAAGTAATGTAGGAAATTTTCCATGGCCTGTGCCCAGCCTCCGGGTCAAGGGCACCTGGTGTCTCTGGGACCCAGGGCTTCAGAGACCTCACCCTGCAGGGAGAGAGAAGGTCGTTTCAGAGCCTGGGGACAGGAGAGACATGCCCTGGGAGGGGCCACACCTGCCAGGCCCCCAGATGACCGCACCCATCCGGGGGCACGTGCAGACCCACGCAAATTGCCGTTGACCACTGTGTGCAAACAGACATGCACTTGCCTGGCAGGGTTGGGAGCCCACTTGCGGCTGGGCCCCTGGATGCCGAGATTCCTCCTGCCCAGGCCTGCTAGGCCCCAGACCTGCGATCTGAGAGACACGGATTAACCCCTCTGGGCTCGTTTCTCTGGTGATGGTCCCAGCTGAATTCTCTGCCCATCCAACTAATTTTGTTTTTAAGCATTGTGGTCATTTTTTGCTCACGTGGAATTGCCACAAGTACCACAGACAGATAACCGAGGTGTCAGGGCCTCCCACCTGGGAGTTTGTCCCCTGCCCATCCCCACGACAGCAGCACGTTCCGGCGGCCCAGGAGACACTGAGGCAGCACAAGTGGTGGAGGCCAGAGCAGAATCCCTGTCCTGCCCGATGACAGAGCTTGGTGGGGGCCCGGGACGGTGGGCTGTGCTGGGCGGTGACATCCAGGCAGGAAGGGCTGGGCCTCAGGAAGGCAGGGCGCACGTGGCCTGCCCAGAACTCGGTCCCCTAGCTCTGCCCCCGAGACCGTGTTCCCGAAATCTCAGTCCCAACACTGCATGAGCCGTGGGGAGGCCGCAGGGCCCCCAGGAAGCGCATTAGGCTGCGATCGGAGAGGATTCTGGCTAAGTCACTTGGCTGTGTTTTCTTTCACGAATCACGGTGTTTTGTGCAATACTGTGTTCACAGGCAGCTGTAGGTGCTTTCTCTCGGCGTGTGGCTGGCAGTGTCTGCTGCCCTTTGGGGTATGCGTTTCCTGCTTGGCATTAAGTGGTTTCTGTACACGCGCAGATATGAGTCCCTCACGACAGAAATGCCCTGTGGCCTTTGCTATGGCGGGACCCTGGCCTGAGGCTTTGCCAGGAGAAATCTGGCTGTGACCCCCTTTCCAGGAGGGCACTGGCCCCACGCGGCCTTGGGGTGCCCTTCTTCCGGAAAGAACCCTGGCTGGCTGATGCTCGGACTCTGGAGGGAGGGCTGCCGGTCCGAGGTGCACCGCTAACTGCCCTGCACACACACACGTGTGCCCCCACACACGTGTGCCCTCACACCCACCCGCACATGCACACGTGCCTGCCAGGCCCACCCGGACCGCCTGCTGCAGGCAGTCCCTCTCCCCAGTCTCCCATTTGGAGAGCGGGTCAGTTTTTGATGGTCCATTTGCTCTGTTTTAAGTATTTGCTGCTGGGAAAAAACAGCTGAAAAAAAATGGAGGGAAATATGTTAATTTCTTGTGGATGGTTTGCTTAGCGTTTACCGCTGGGGATTGGGGGGAGGGTTCTGGTATGATAATTGGAGGATTAAGAGATGAGTTTCCATGTGCACTGGCTAGACTTTGCTCCTTGGTGCGCCCGCCCTGCGTGGACTGACCGCTGGCCCGGGCAGCATGCAGCCCTGGGCTCCACAGGCCTCCCTCCTGGGTGCAGCAGAGCTGGGCTGGGACCACGCCAGTTCCCCAGGGGAAGCTCCCGGTGGGTGTCCTGCCCCCCTGCCCTCCTGTCCCTGTGGGAAGCCTGGTGTCTGCCCAGCCTTGAGGCTGCGTGAGGGGGCCCAGAGCTTTGGGACGGGGCCGGACAGGGCCACATCCATGCCCCAGAGAGCCTGGTGCAGAGGGTGACGGGCCAGCCATTGGCTCCTGCTGTCTCCCATGCAGGTCGGGGGTCTGTGCTGCTCAGAGACCACCGGTCACCGTGGCACAGCCGTGGTATACTGTGTGCTCCTGGCTAGGCCTGGACAAGCCTTTGCCTGTGCAGTGTGGACGGGGCAGAGGGTCCAGGAGCTCCCGATTCTGACCATCCGACTTGATTTTCCTATCGTTTTGGCTTTGGAACTGCAGTCCTGTTTGGTTGCAGCAGAAGCCAGGACATTGTGGTCCAGGGTATCTGGGGCAGAGCCCGAGAAGCGGTATTTGTGGGGATGCTGCTTGGAGAGCCCTCCCCGGCCCCCTCCTCCCTGCTCCGGATAGAGTCCCTGGCCTAGAGCCCAGCAGTGACCCAGCAGGACTACGTGTGTCCAAGCTTGTCTCACTGGGCCCCTGGGACCTGCAGGGACGCTCTGTGTCTGTTCTCCCTGGGGGCCGGCTGTATCTCCCCCAGCCTGCCGGCCCTCCGTTTGAGAAGTTCTCACTTCTGAGCCGGGACTTGTGGCTCCTTCTCGTTACAATGGTCTTACTACTAAATGTGTTTCCAACACTTCTGGAAGATGGGGTGGGGGTGGGGGGCAGCATGAGAGAGGACGAGGCAGAGCCCCCAGCAGGGCCTGTGTGGACTGACACCCTGGGTGCTGCTTTGGGGTCACAGTAGCCTCGAGTGGGTCCATCCCCCAGGGCACATGGGGCAGGCAGGAGAAGCATGGATGTCAGACACCAGGGCTGGACCCTGCAGCCGCTGCCCAGGCCTTCTGGGTCTGCGATGGGGAGGAGGGCTAAGCGCCTGTGGCTTCCCCACCCTATTCGGGACTCCTGGTCCTGTCTCCCAGGGAGGGTCAGCTCAGGAGTGCCTGACACAGTGGTTTGGCTGGGGGCCCACAGGTCAGGGTGGGCTGTCCTGTCCCACGGGGGTGAGGCCAAGGGCCAGAAACGGCCCCTGAAGGGAGATGCCTGCTGGGCCAGGCCCACTGGGAGTTTCCTGGGCTGGGTGTTGGGTGCCTTGCAGGGAGATGTGGAGGGTTGACCAGGGTGAGCTGTCTGTCCTGGTGCAGATAGGCTAGGGGGCGGAGC